ATAATTTGGATTCCTTTTTCTTTCTAAAATAAAGCGCTTGACTTTAACATTATATTGCGATACGAGTCGGTCACAAGTCTGTCCTGAATTTGTTTTATTGTAAAAGAATCCAAAATGCATATGATTTTAGAAATGTTCATATTACCAGTGAAAAATGCGTGTGTGTTTAGAATAACGTTGAACATCCCCAACTCCTACAGAGTTCATTACAAAATATCTCGATTTCCGAAATTGAATGTGGCACTTCAACCTCTTCGCTTGGCGAGAAATGAATTTATAACTGAAAAAGTTTGATCTTACGTTGTGAAATAATGATAGAATCACAGGTGTCTGTGCGTTTGACTCTTGATGCTAATTTGTTCCTAAATTAAATTTTACTGCCGAATTAAACAAACACGTAGTTGTGGCGCACAATAGACTTCCGGCTTTATTTTGAGGCCTTAAAAGAATGAAGCTAAATAAAATTTTACAAAAGTGCTTTTTGCTTACAAATTGTCGCCTTTTGTTTGATAATGTGAATATAAGGCACAAACGTGATCGTTAAAAAAACTGTCATACTTGTCATTCAAAAGGGATTTCATGGCTACATTTTTAAGGAGTAAACGCTAGTGACAATGATGATTGTATTTACGAAAGCAGGGCAACGTCATATACATCTCAGAATAAAAATAGATATGTCTTGTGACAGATTAGGCAGTTCGTAAGAGCGTTATAAAATAAGAGAATGCTTCTGAGGAAGATGTTTAATTAGATGTTGCTAAAAAGGTGAATTATTCACGGCCGGGCGGATGTTGTGGAAAGAGCAAAAAATCTATCGTAACATACAGTCAAATTAGCCCACAGGAAACGACCCTTTTTTATAGAACTACCTAATAATGTAGAATATTTTGTAGCGTTAATAGAGTCTCTCGTCAAAAAGAAATGCGATTTTCTTCTCTAAAATTTAATACAAAATAACCTTTTCAGAAAATGGTAAGTATCAATATAAAAAAAAAGCCTCCCGTTTTTTCTGTGTGAAAGGAGATGATTTGTTGATGCGCTACTAAGGACGTCGTCTGCAGCCTTTGTCGATAAACGCAGCGGACGCAACCTACATAGCGAGCTATGCATTATGTGGAGGGTCTTTGATGACGATGGCCATCAGCGTGGACAGACTTCTCGCCCTGTTATTGGGGCTGAGATATAAACAAACTGTAACTTTGAAGTGCACATATATCATTGCAGCTGCCATTTGGGTTTTATTCAGTGCCGCTGCTTTATGTTATTCCATACACACATAAATACATACATAGTTTATTGTTCATCCCTACGGAGCTTTTCAGAGTCAATGTTACATTACAAAATTTCAGGAAAAAGTAATACCTGATGATCTCACAAGTTCAAAGGAAGAAAAAAACATTTACTTTTCTTTGACATAAAAGACATATCCTGATGCAATGTAAATAAGACAGGCCAGTAGAGAAGTTTTATTTGAAAATTATCAAAGAAGTCATTAAGGTCTCAGTGATCGTCACTCGGCGAATGTTGTTCAGACAAATTATTTCTTGCCGCAATCAAAGATAAACTGTAAGAAGAAAGAAACGAGTCACAGAATAATGTTGATATCAAATTTCACAAGAAGTGGAACAAAGATGAAAACATTTGAAGAAATCCTATGTTCTTCCTCTTTAATGGGTGGGCTTCAAAAAGCATCACTTTCTTTCGCAGCGGTCAACATTTTCTTCTCCATCACAGCATTTGTTGGGAATTCTTTCATCCTTATTGCCCTTCACAAGGAATCTTCCC